TTTCACCATATTTTCTGATAGAGTTATGGTCATTTTGGACGGTATCTCACAAATGTGACTTTTTCAAAGACTTCCAACAAAATGATCGTAACTCTATCAGAAAATATGGTGAAAAGCTAGGATACATCTCATTCTGTGGAGAAATAATTACTCTACCAGACTGACTGTTTCAAAAGTTTATCAAGTACTGAACGAACGAGAAAAATGTTTCGAAAGTAAAAAACTAAGGTGTTTTACAAATGATCAAAATGTATTTGGTAAAAGTCTCAGCTCGGTAGGTTTCGATTTGGCCGAGAAAATTACAGTGCAATTTCCCCCTGGAACGTGGAAAAACTGAAACCCCCCGAGCCCGTCCCGGATCTGTTCGCATCGGCTTAGAAAATTAAAAATACATTTCCTGGCTCAGAATTTGATGCTCTTTCGAATGAGATAGGTCTCGACTAATGCGCCAGACTTCGCTGTAAAGATGGTATTTTACCGGTGGAACTGTTCATTTGCGATTCTGTGAAGGGAGCGAAACAGAGCACAGGAAAGTGATCAGATGTTCCTTCACTAAGAACCTCTGCTTTCCATCCACTCACATCATTAGTGACACCAAAATCAATAACGGTATCCTGGTAAAGGAGGAAGATTTCTCAAGAGAGCCCTTACACCAGTTAGAATAGCTATTTGAGGAGTATACGTTGATAGTAGAATATCCATATCCACATCAGTTAGATGAGAACTTAATCCTTCCACATTAAAGTTTAACAAACATAAATTTTTAACTACCTTATCCGGTCTCTTCTTCTTCCATAACGACAAAGATCAGAGGCGCATATTCTAGAGTTCCATTCGTTACACATCTGACTAAGGGTATTTTTCTCACCCACTGAGCCATTATATTTGTTAATAATGTCTTTTCTTACACACGAGTCCAAATGCCTGAATGTTGTATTATTCATTTGAACAAAAGAGTAAGTCTATTCCCTCGATCGAAGCTGCTGTTAGTTTCCCAATCAGTGTCGTAAGTTGATCTTGATGTTTTTGAATTGAAGTGTGATACTCGGAAAATTTATTGTTTTCGATGAGTAATTAATTGTTGTGACATTTGGTTTAAGGTATTTTTCAATGCTTCGTTTTGTTCATTGTTTTGAAGGATTTGAGTGATTGACGACATAATTTGAATAATACTGGCTCCCATTGGCATGACGGTTGAAATAATGGTAACCGACAAACCCTCACATCACATTTCTCTTCATTCTTTTTTTAATATTGAATTTATTGTTCCCGAAGGTTAGCAATTAACATTTACATGAGCTCATTGACAGAAAAAAAATAAAAAGTAGCAAAAAATAGAAATATAATCACTTCTTTCAGTTGAAGCAAATAATTATAATAGTTAATTTGCACGCCTTATAGAAGCTATCCAAGTATCACGTCATCAATCTCAAGAGGGAAGAGTTCGACCTATGCTTACCCTCGTGGTTTCAGTTCAGCGGCAAACTCTAATTATTGATAACTCAAGGAAGAGAGGATCCAAAATGGCCGAAAAGTTGGTTTCGTAACACTCGAACAGTGTCTGTTGTTTGTACGTTTATATAATATTCCATGCCGTTCTGACCGAATGTCCCTTCCAAGGGACATTCTTCTCAGATGTTATATCATGACAGTAGATCACTTCGAAACTTACGGCTGTTTTCGTAGGATAGATGAATGTAATGCTCGCCAATATCAGTTACAATAACTAAATTACACCCTGTATCTATGAACAGATTAAACCTTTAAAACGAAAACTTGCATTTGAAAAATGTTTAATATCGACAAATTAATTAGCTCGTTAAGAAGCCAGTTAAAAACGTTTTGTTTTTCAGCCAATAAATTACTAGATTATTTTAATTTAGACAACTGTTCGCTTTTTGATGATAATTAGCTTTATTTTTTGCCCATCGGGCCTATCAGGACACCCATCGTAAAGACAACAAAATAAAAATACAAATACAAACGAAGCAAAGCCAGAAAATGATATCATTGAAGTTATGTGAGTTAGAAAAGTTACATGAGATGAGTGAATAACATGAACTGAGGTAAACAATAGTGCGAAGATAGAAAAAAAAACTAGTTTACAGACCAAAACATAGTCACAATACGTTTACAAAAGCGAATAAGGAAATTTTATAAACGTTTCGAGCTCGTCTTCTCCGACCTGAGGTATCAAATTTTCTACATTATCGGAAAACCAAGAAACATACTTTTGGAAAACCGATAAATTAGGAATAATTCGTTTCGATTTGCGTAAGCTTTTTACTATATCAGCTTTATTTACCCACTGCTCTCTACATATATTTAGCACATAAGCTTCGTATAGCATTATTCCATCGATAGAATTTGCAAGTGAACATAAAAGCACTGGAAACATCTGTTTTCAAAAGATCGTTCATCATACATAATGGAGAAGACTGTATCGTTCCAATAGAAAACTCCATAGACCCGACGTAAACACGAATAATAAAAATGTGCCACCTCCGCTTGTTGACACTGCGTTATGAGCAGAAAGATGGCAAAAAGCCAGGTGAACAGGGGAAACACATATGTGAAAAATAGCGTTAGTTTGAATTCGATATTAGAAGTGCCATTGAATCTACATGCTTCCACTATAGCTACTCTTTGTTCGATTTTTGCTTTGTACCGTATCATCGCTTTACCCCATCCTAGCTTCGATCCTATCCAATACCCTAGATATTTGGAATATGAGACCCACTCTGTTTTATGTTCTCCGCAGTAGATATCGAACCTGGGTTTTCCGGAAGCGCGAGCTGTCCACATAGCCTCGATTTTCTTGTAGTTGATTGGTTGTACAGATAGGATGGAATAAAATTCCAGCCACTCAAAGAATTTTTTTAGTCTAATCTCTAAATCCAAATACTGACGCGAGAACTTGGCACCGATCATACCTGCCAATACACTTGCCAGATCGTCTGCAAAAAAGTTTGGGATAGAGCATTCTAAAAAGGTCCACATATCTGAATGATACGTGATAAAAAGGCAAGGAGTGAAGGAAGAACCCTGGGACCCTCCGCGCTTAATTAGAAATGAACGAGACCTCTTCACCTCTATCTCAATGAAACCACTTCTACCATTAAGCCACATTTCAATCCACTGGACAAAGGCTGTAGGCAAAACTGTAAAATTGTTCGTTTTTGGATCTGGGTTTCTCTTACATTTCTTTAGTCAACTATTGTAATGTCTCTTGGAAGGGACATTCGGCCTTAAAGGGTTAATGATCATGTATAATTATAAAATATGTGTCAAAAACTGATTTGACCAAGAAACAGAAGGAACAGTTTTGCAAAGTCCCCAACTAGTGTCTGCTGGAACAAAATGACTTTGAAGGCACAGACTGTAGTACAAAAGAGATCGATTCATATTTTAGAGAAACAAGTTTACTCCTCTCTTTCATAAATGATATGTTTTGTGCATTATTCAACTAAAAAGCAGCACCATGTCTAGACAACTTCTGTCATTTTGAGATACCAAAGACAAGACTTGCAAGAAATGAACCGATATATTTCAGATTTCCTCCAGATAAATGTGCTTTTATATACCTAAGATATCTTTACATTTCTTGTTTTTCTAATCGTACACAGACATGTGCGCCGATAAAAATATTCGGCGGCGGCGCGAAGCTATGAAAATAAATCCGCCTTCGGTAGCGGCGTATAAAAATTGGTTATCGGCGGCGAATCTCCTAATTTAACTAAAACAACGTTCTCTTTCATTTCTGGCACGTTCTTCGCGCACCAACCGTATCTGTACGGTACCGTATACGAAAAGATAGAAACACGCTGCATGCTGGATGCCTAAGGTAAGGACGTACTAACAAAAATAGTAAAAATTTTCGGAAAACATTTTTCTCCGCCCTAGGCGTCGGAAGTCACAACAATTTTTCTTTGCCTTCAGCGGCGGCGCACATATACGATTCGTATATCTATATAAATGACAATTTACTGCCGTACACAGACACACACGAAAACGAACCTTTTTCGTTGTTTCTTTTTCTGTTGTGTCAGAAATGAAGAGAAATGTGACGTGAGGCATGCGCAGGTAGAAAAGCAAAGAAGATATCTCTTATTTGATACGGCTCTAGTATTTTTATCTTTTAGTGAGTTTCTGTATTATACAGAAAATTATAGATATCTTTTAATGCAGTAAACTTTTATTATTATTAAAAAATTTTGTTACTTGTTTGATAGTGTTTACGGTTAGTCAAGCGAAATAATTATGGTTCAGAAAAATTTACAATCTAATTGAGTATTGTATTTGTCGAATGATATCAGATATCGTTAATTTATAACTAAAGTGCTCTTGAGTACTTCTGAAGCCAAATATAATATTACAATTTTCTATATTTTGGCTAAAGAAATACGTCCTACAACTCCTAGAGAAAGAAGAAAGAAACGTAAACTGTGATAAGAACGATATTATACTTTTGTTAAATACAATAATATATTTACTGAAGCATAGAGTTTCAAAAGCTTTTTTATTTGTCAAACGTAACCCATTGAATGAGTTAAAAAAATGTAACCACTAACTGTACATAACTCGTTGAGAAGTACACTAGCCTTCGAAAAGTTAATAATGGAGAAAAATCTACGATTTCTCGATCTTTCCGAACCGACAAAAATGCTGCTGCCTATCGATGGATACCAGTCTTTTCCATTATTACCTCTTGAAAAGGCTCTCGAACCAGTGAACCATATATTCAGTGATTTACAAGCAAAAGTTTGGCTTGCAAAAGAAAACTGTAAAAAACCAAAGAATGATTTAACTATCGATCAATCAGCTGCAATTCAAATATACACATTCGAATGGTATCCGGCGAATCGAAGCCTTTATTATATTCTCAATCAAGCGCTACGCGCTGCTGATCGTGAAAAGTTGGTACCGTGGTTTGGGTATATAAAATTATTTGTCACAGCACTGTACAAATTACCTTCAGTGAAACAAACAGTTTGGCGTGGCGTAAAGGCAGATCTAAGTCATTTGTATCCAACAGATAGTAAACGTACATGGTGGGGGCTGAGTTCGTGTACAGAAACGATTCATGTATTAGAAAAAGAAGAATTTCTCGGTAAAACAGGTACACGAACTCTGTTTAATGTTGAGTGTTTTAACGGTAAAGTCATAAGAGACCACTCGTATTACCAGACAGAAAACGAAATCCTCCTATTACCGGCTTCGTATTTTCAAGTGGTTAGTGTTTTCGATGGAAGTAATGGATTGCATATTATTCATTTGAGACAAATAATTCCTCCATACACGCTGCTACAACCACCGTCGGCTGATATTTCAAACACCGTCGAAATAAAACAGAAAATCGATGAATTAAATAAAAGTTTGACTGATCTACTCGACCCAACTAAGCAAACACCAAAAACAGAACCAGTAAAGGTGGAAGAAATCAAAAATCAAATATCAGCAAAACAAGGTACGATATATGTTTTCCTGAAAGTAAAGAAACCAAAGTTCCGGAAAGAGGTCGAAATGCTTATGAGACGATCAGTACGTTCGCTGAGAAAGAACTTAACCTGCACTGATAAGTAGAAAAGAAATTATAGAAAAGAAAGGCAATTTTCTAGAAATACCTACATAAAGTTACCGGAAGTTTTCTATTTTCTTATTTTCAAGATAAATCAATTTTTCGTTTATTTTCTAGTGAAAGTAAAATTTTACTCTGATGACCAGGAAAAAATCAAAAACTTTAATGTTCAACCGAAAATGTGTAAGCTCTGTCGATACATTCATAACTCAAAAGTTTGTCTGTGGAGTAAAAAAATGCGTAGCTTCCTGAATGCGACCAAAATTTAAGTCAGTTAGTATAAAAGTGGTGGCAAATTGGAATGAGTAAAATTACATTGGATTGCATTTCCAAAAAGCGACTAATTAAAGTGACAACAAGTAAAGTAACAACAATTTGTTACTTGTTACTAGTAATGAGTAACAACAGATGCTAGTTTGTTACTTTGTTACTAGTAATAAGTAACGCAGTTGTTACTTTTTTCGGTAAAGTAACAAAGAGCAAGTTATTTTTAGAAAACAGGTGTTTCTGAAGTGTTCTTGAAATTTTAGAAAAACTTTTAAAGTTCATTAGATGTCTTATAAGCTATGACTCATGTCTTAACATGTTCTATAGCTGTGTCTAGCTATGTGTTAGCTATGTCTATAGCTAACAAACATTTCCAGATACTTTCTTTATCATACGTTCACCACCTTTTAGTAGGCATTTCTGCCAGTCGACTTCTTAAGAAAGGTTTTTCTAATAAATTAAGTTGTGTCGATTAGAAGACAAAAATTCTCGTCGTGTACGATGGAAGAATTAAATATTATGCCTTTCACAGCGATGACTGAGAATCGATGATTCAGTAAAGCTTTTCTTATATATCTATCCCAATGTTATGACTATTTAGATCGTCAGGAATACATCATCATCTTATCTTTCTGTCTTCTAAAGTGAAGGATATTGACAGTAGTAGTCTCATATAAACTCTCTACAAGAAGTACGGGGTTGACAGTGCGCACATTGAACGAGAAAAGCTTTGCTTCACTTTACCGTATCCTTCTTGTAAGAGAGCGAAAATTTTGTTCCTTATAAAAAATCTACTCAATAAATATCTTCGGTATGAATGTTTTCTTCTAATCGACACAACTTTAATTTATTAGAAAAACCTTACTTAAGAAGTCGACTGGCAGAAATACCTACTAAAAGGTGGTGAACGTATGATAAAGAAAGTATCTGAAAATGTTTGTTAGCTATAGACCGAACAAGTTAAGACATGAGTCATAGCTTATAAGACATCTAATGAACTTTAAAAGTTTTTCTAAAATTTCAAGAACACTTCAAAGACACCTATTCTCTAAAGAAACTTTTTTTTCTTTTTTTGCTACTTTACCAAACGTAACAAAGTAACAAACCAGCATCTATTGTTACCTTTTACTAGTAAAAATGATTCAGTCCCGATTCGTCGACACTCACTCTCACACCGCCCCTCCCGCCTTTGAAATTCTTTGATGTATATTCTCTGAAGTGTCCGATTTGTCGACGAATCGGGACGATACCACACCAATGGTAATGTGCCACTTTTATACTAATTGGATTTATACTGTTTTATACTAAATTACTCAATCGCAAAGCATCAAATTGATCAAAAAAATTCTTCTGATCTTTTTTGATTAAAATTGTATTTTTCACACATAATCGTAGATTATTTCATGAAGAAAAGTTTTTCTCATATCATTTTAAGGCCCCCCTCCCTCAGAAATAATGATTTTCGGTCAAAAAATCGGTTTTGAGATAAGCACATGGAAAGATAGCCTGAAGTGTCTACTTCCAGAATCTGTATTGCTTTTGGTTACAAAAGTGGTTTTTCGGGGATTTTGAGCAAGTTTTCTAAGAGCCTCGAAAAAACGGGTCTTCAAATAATGTTTTTTTCCTGGATACTTATGCAATTAAAATTTTTCTGAAAACACAGCTTTGTAGAGCAAACGTTTCTGATCAAAATAAGACCTCGCACAACTCTGTATGACCTTGCATCAAAAAGTCACGGGCATTTTCCTAGAAGTCCTAAAATCGAGTATTTCATACAGCGTTTAATAAAGCGTTTTCACTATATAAGAGTTACACCTGGAGTGCGTCCCAAGATTTTTAATAGAGGTTTGTCGTAGAGGGTTCATTCTTTTTTTGTTTAAAAGAGGAAAAGAAACTACATCGACTGACCGGCATCGATTTTTGAATTAGGTCTTAGTTTTTTGTCAAACTGAGGATTTTTCGGCTTTCGGAGGTTGTTGGTTGCCTGGAAAACCAATAAAGGCTTAATTGAAAAATTGGCGCGGGTCAGTCGATGTAGTTAGGTGTCTAGTTTAAAATAAAACAAACCCGAACTCTCCAGCTTGATGTATATTAAAAAATCTTGGGACGCCGTTCAGGGTCCTTTTTGAACCTTGATCTCTGGAAAACTCCTAAACCGTAAGACTTGGAGACAAAAAAGTTTTTTCATTCCCGTAACTCATTGTACCGAACACTTATGGAAAGTTTCGTCAAGATCGGATGTACGGTGTCGGAGATAATTTCTGCGGGGAGCGGCCCTTAAGGCAAGGTGAAGAAACAGAGACTCATCAGGCATGTATGAGCAGATTCGTCGTACAGAATTTACGGATTGGCAGGCTTTTGTAGCACTGTCACCGAAAATTTGCAATCTAGGTGAAGGTCGCCGAAAAGTCCATAAAGCTATGACTGTGTTTTAATAATAAAACAATTTTAATCAAAAAAATCAGAAGTGTTTTTGAGCATTTTGATGCTTTGCAATTGAGCAACTTATTTCGTGATCAAGTTGTCTGTTTTGCTTCTTCTTTCAGTTCTAAGTCACGCGTAGCCCCAAAAGAGATAATAACATCAAAAGCGGCTGTGGCGGCTGCGGCGTACATGAGAGTGAGTCACAAAGAGCTATTAAAAACTATTATCTCTTTTGACACCTAGCCCTAATTCATCCATCTAATTAATTAAATCATTTGGTAATCAAAAGTCACTTTTTTGGTGATAAAAAAATCGATACTCAAAAAGGAAGAGGTTATAATACATATGATGATAGGGAAGAAAAAAAACGTCATGTATAACAAAATAGATAGATATGTATTATATACATGTATTAGAGAAAAAACTAAATTGTATAAAGTGAAATGATGAAACCATGGACATGAACAGCTAACTGAAAATTTTCCTTAAATAGTTAACATACAGTGAGGACTATTAATTTCAAGTCAATACATTGTTTGAGACTAAGCTATGAGAATAATACCCCAGAACTAGAAACAATGTGCCGATGGTAAGATACACATTATGATCGATTTTCATATTTTAAAAATTTCCATCAAAGAGCTGTACCAATTTGATAAGATAATTTTGTTAACCACGCTGGACTTTTTTCCTATAGATCGTCTCTTAAGAATCAAACTAGTTTAATCTTATAACGTAATATTCAGCACTCAACTTTATTTTATAATCTAGAACCAATTTTGCATTTTAGGCTTACCTCAGAAATCTATGTCTTGCCCTCACTGCAACACGCAAAATATTTGTACCGATACCTTTGCAGCTGTTGTAACGTGCAACAGCTGCAAAAAGGAGTTCTCAGTGACTACGTCAATGGTTTGTCCACATTGTCAAAGATCGCTCACTTTGAAATCATTCACATACAACGACGGAACGGTGTTAATATGTGCCTACGAAAATTGTAAAAAGACATTCCAACGAGTCAACTGTCCACATTGTGCACAAGTGGAAAATGTTAATCGAAACGAAGGGCAGATAATTACATGTGTTTATGAACAATGTAGAAAACAATTTCAGCAATTAAATTGTCCTCATTGCTCGACGTCAAATGTTTGGAAAAATGCTGATTATAAAGGAGGTACAGTTATCACCTGTATTAATGCAGCCTGTAAAAAAACTTTTCAACAATTAAACTGTCTCCATTGTTTGAAGACAATACGCTATACAAATACTAACTATAAGGAAGGCAAAGTAGTGACTTGTCCCGATGAGAAATGCCAAAAGAAATTTCAGCAGCTAAATTGTCCCCACTGTAAGCGATTACTTATTTGGGAAGATGCTGATCGGAATGAGGGTTTAGTTCATACTTGCTGCTATGAAAACTGCAAAAAAACGTTTCAGCAAATAAATTGTCCAAACTGTACTGGAGACATATGGTGGGAAAATGCCGACTATAATGAAGGAAGAACCGTAACATGTCCCTATGCCGCGTGTANCGTGTAAAAAGTCGTTTCAACAATTAAATTGTCCTCATTGCTTGACCTCAAATCTTTGGAAAAATGCTAATTATAAAGCAGGTACAGTTATCACCTGTGTTAATGCCGCCTGTAAAAAGACTTTTCAACAATTAAACTGTCTCCATTGTTTGAAGACACTGCGCTATACAAATGCTGACTATAAGGAAGGAGAAGTAGTGGCTTGTCCCGATGAGAAATGCCAAAAGAAATTTCAGCAGCTAAATTGTCCCCACTGTAAGCGATTACTTATTTGGAAAGATGCTGATCGGAATGAGGGTTTAGTTCATACTTGCTGCTATGAAAACTGCAAAAAAACGTTTCAGCAAATAAATTGTCCAAACTGTACTGGAGACATATGGTGGGAAAATGCCGACTATAATGAAGGAAGAACCGTAACATGTCCCTATGCCGCGTGTAAAAAGTCGTTTCAACAATTAAATTGTCCTCATTGCTTGACCTCAAATCTTTGGAAAAATGCTAATTATAAAGCAGGTACAGTTATCACCTGTGTTAATGCCGCCTGTAAAAAGACTTTTCAACAATTAAACTGTCTCCATTGTTTGAAGACACTGCGCTATACAAATGCTGACTATAAGGAAGGAGCAGTAGTGACTTGCCCCTATGAAAGTTGCAAGAAAACCTTTCAACAGATGAGTTGCCCTCATTGTTCAGTGCCCATGTGGTGGGAAGACGCTAATTATGAGGAAGGAGAAGTAGTGACTTGTCCCTCTGAGAACTGCCAAAAGACATTTCGGTAGGTA